TTAAATTTGATCCTCTCATAGTAAATTAGGTTAAATGAAATTTAAATTTGATCCACTCATAGTAAATTAGGTTAAATGGAACTTAAGTTTGATCTACTCATAGTAGGTTAAGTCAGATCAAAGTTGAGTTTGGTCTACTCATAGTAGATTAGGTTAGATGAAAGTTAAATTTGATCCACTCATAGTAAATTAGGTTAAATGAAACTTAAGTTTGATTTACTCACAGTAGGTTAGGTTAGATCGAACATAAGTTTGATCTACTCATAATAGGACGAGTTAGATCGTAATTAAATTAAGTCGACGTATAATGATCTAACTTAAACCAGAGTTATTAGTACTTTACATAATATGTTGTGTTAAATGAAAATTGAATAAAATTTGCTGACAATACGACAGGTTATCTCCAAATCAAGCTGAATTACGTTAAATGTACTGTTAGAAGGTTCGACCAGTTTTAGGTTATGTTAAAATTCGGGTCAAGTTGAATGAAGTCATAAATTGAAATTTTGGTAAACAAGGACGAAAACAAATCTCGAGTTAGTATTCGCACGATAAAAATTGATAAGTGTACCTGAAAATATGACCTAATAGGATGTAAACAATTATACCGAGACTTCAATCGATTTAGCAGCCAGCGTGGTTTGTCATTCAATGATTGCGTCAATGGAACGTACGTTTCGCAAAGTGTGTACCATGAAAAGGGTCCCGATTAAGAATCTTTTTATAGTGCCTTCGACACGACAGATGATTGGTGATTACCTGCCGACGTTAATAAGAATGCGTGATTGCATCGGTGCAGCTCTACTAATTAGTTTACTAAGCCTCAGTGTGACATTTCCATCGGTACAGTAAGTTGTTCTGAAGCACACAGGGCAAATAATTCGTTACTTTCTGTGATAACGTGATTTGTACGAACGATCGTTTTCTCGTTAGTGTATCGATTCCACCAATACAATGGTAATTATCAACAATCTGAGCTTTTGACCAAACGCGGCTAAATTTAGAATTTTCTGACACGAGGGAAAATTTTAATATCGTTTCATATCTTCGCGTGTGACGTATCAGTGATAAGGTATTAAAAGTGTCAATGCATATATGTAGGATACAAAACTCTACGTATCTACAATTTAACGGTCGTATGTTTTATGAAATCCATGGATAATTTATATATTTTACATTTCTTTTTAGAAGGTTTGCAAATTGTAATTAGCGTTGATACTATAGATGTTCTTGCATTGATCATTACAATTTCTAAAATTCTAAACTACAGTCTCTAAATTTCTAAGTATCAATCAAAATCTGATAGAATAAACAATTAAATTTAAGAATTTCTACGTCAGTGGTATTTAAATTGCAATCATTATATAAGGCGAAGAATATTTAATATGCAAAATGATACATGTCTTCAACATCTTTTTCCTGTCTTTCATTAATTATTACAAGGATAGTCAAATGATAGACCTATTAATATCAAATTTAATGTATTATGCGATATCACTTTTTCTATAAAAAGAAAGTGTAATTCAAAATTTGTTCTGTCCTCATAGGATGATATTCAACTTAGCAAGGATCAAATCGCACGTAAGTATTCAATCAATTCCATCACCTAATACATATTCTATTTGACCAAAATTTTTAAACAGAGTTGAAAATGGGTTTCGACGCTTTCGACCCTGATAAGAAAGGTATCATCACCAGCGACACGGTCGGTACAATTCTAGGAATGATGGGAATGAAGATCCCATCAGAACAATTGAATAGTGTCATCGCTGAATTTGATCCATTTGGTGAGTGAGAAAAGTTTCATTAAAACTTTTTCAAACAAGAACGTAAATTAGGGCAATGATGATACATTAGGGCCACGTGATACATTCATGTGAACATAAACTTGACAACTTTTATTGGGTCACGTTTCTCGTTTCTTAAAACTTCCAGTCGCGTCATTACATAGTAGCTTAACTTATAATATAACCTATAAATTAGGTATTGCACCTAGCCTAATATATTTAGGTTATAATATAACATAACCTATAAATTAAAAACCTAATAATTTATGTTTATTTTATAATGTACTGTACCCTACAAATTAGGTATTAAACCCAACCTAACATATTTAGGTTATAACATAATATAACCTCTAAATTAGAAGGCAAATACCTAATTGAGGTTATAATATATCATAACCTAATAGAATCCTAATATCCAACCGTGTCGTATAAATAATTTTAACTCATCCCTTATAAATTTAAATTCCCACAGGATCGGGAGAACTGAGCTTCCAAGACTTCTGCGGCCTAGCATCCAGATTCATGGAGGAGGACACAGACACCGAGGCGATGCAACAGGAATTACGAGAGGCCTTCCGTTTATACGACAAAGAAGGAAACGGTTACATCACCACCGACGTGTTCAGAGACATTCTTCACGAACTGGACGATGCACTGTCGCCCGAGGAGCTTGACATGATCATAGACGAAGTGGACGCCGACGGATCTGGCACGGTCGATTTCGAAGGTGAGTATCGTCGTCGACTCAAATTACACGCGAAAAAGTCAGCTCGTAATACATCGAACATGACGCGTTTCGCGTTTCAGAATTCATGGAGGTCATGACAGGCTAAATTATCACCTTGGCACGATGCGGCAAGCGCAAACGACCGAGACTTGCACGCGAAAACTGCAATTTACTCGAGGATGTATGCACACCGTTGGCAAAGTATGAAGTTAAAGGTTCGTAGGTGATGTTCGTTAAGACGAACGAGAAGGAACATGCACACGGTATAGCTGAGAAAGTATTTCTGCCTTGCACCTCGCTTTCGGAGTCACAATCGGCTGAAATGTATTTCTATCTATGCCGGAATTAACCGACCGACTCGGGGTCGTACATAAGAAACTGGTTTATATCGGCGGATATAAATTCATGTTTTCATCTTATCCTTCCTGCTTGGTTCGTTGCAATTGTTTTAATCGAGTAGTTTGGCATAACAAGGTCACCTTGACGTTTGTCGTTCGGAATGAAGTGATGGACGACTGTATGGACTTTGATGGGTTAGGGCAAATTGGGAAATTTGACGGCTGAGGGTAATTCTAAACTCTCATGTTGTCAAATTTATTTTGAATGTTTCAAGTTTGCAAATTAATAATTATCAAATTCTTAAAATTTAAAAATGATAAATGTTTTATATTATGAAATTGCAAATTTAATTTATTAACTTGAAACTACAAGTTTGTTATTTACTAACTTACCAAGCTGTCGGATTCCCAACCTATTAAATTTCTGGATTTCCCAGGACTTGAATATCCAAATGATCACGTGACCAAATAACCAGGTGACCAGATGATCAAATGACCAAATCACCCAGTGACCAAATGACCAAATGACCAAATCTACACACCCACAAATCCACTAAACCCCAAAACCCCAGCTTTCGAAATCTCCAAATTTTCAAATCCCCAGATCCTCAAATCCCCAGATCCTCAAGTCACTAAACCCTCAAATTCTCAAATCTCCAAATCTCCAAATCTCCAAATCTTCAAATCCCCAAATCTTCAAATTTCCAAATCTTCAAATCTTTAAATCTTCAAATCTCCAAATCTCCAAATCCCCAAATTTCCAAATCCCCAAATCTCCAAGCTTCCAATTTCCTAAATCTCCAAACTCTCAAACTACCAACTTCCCAAATTTAAAATTCGTTCGCTAAAAACTTTATCTGCACATAAAATAATATATCAAGTAAAATGAACTATAATATGTATCGACCGTAATAAAATATATCTAACGTAACAAAATATAATCAGTCCTAAGTGTAAATGACCTTGCAGGCGAGGATTAAAAAGAGACTGAAAGATCGAAGTTCGGTGATATACCAAGTGTAAACTTTACACTTTGCCCACGATACATACAATCAATTTGTAAGCAACGATTATATTATTAATAAACTGTACCTATGTAAGACAACGTAAAAATACGAGAAGAATAATAAAAACGCAAAAAAATAGCAAAGATAATTTTGTGTGTTTGATTTGTCCTACGGTTCGCTCCTGTATCATTGAATCGGTGTCATTGACATTCACGCCGATTACGCAAACTCGCTATAAATACTTAAATCAGTATCGGCCAGAGTAAATAAATGAAGAAATAAACAGCATACCAAATGTAATTCGTGTCTCTTATTTCTATAATCTTTCGTTGACGTTTGTATCGTGTAATCATATTTAAGAAAATTGAAAAATTCGAACATTATATTCATTAACTCACAATGTATTAACATTGAAACGTTTAAAATTTGAGAAAAAGACTCCAAAAAGATTTTTTTCTCTTTTATTGTTAAAGGAATATAATCGAAATTACAAATTATTTCTTATACTTTAGTAAAAATATGAAAATATGCAGTGTCAAGAATGTAGGTCTAAGAATAAGAAAATGGTGTGACATAAAAGAACAGTTAAAATGGCTGCATTCATAGTGTTATTTTTAACGAAATATTTCATTAAAAATGCACATTATTTTGTGAAATCCTAAATCCTTAAAACCTCAAAGGCTAGAAATATAGCGGAGGACGTTGATTTACGAGAAGTGGTTTACGCTGAGAAATTCTGTTGTAGTCTTTTATAGTTGAAATTTATGATAAGGTTGTAATAATGGAAACGAAGAATGCGCCAGGATCAGTGCTAACATAATAGCCGGTAGCTTTTATGAGCTTATAATTAGCATCCTAAGAATACCTCAGATGCGGTTATTACGCCGAATTGTCTCGAGACAGTCCGTCATGGCCGGCTGAGAGCCAAGTTCGTCTATTGTCGCCGCATTTTTCTTCTTCGCCGCGTTAATTCGTTAGGATGTTGCGTTAGGATACCGTTCGGATATTGCGGCACGGAAGTATTAGCAACGATCGATCGACAGATCCTTGCGAAACGGAGCTTTTGTAAAATAAAGAAATTTCCTCGAGGCGAGGTATTGCGCTCGCAATTGCACGACACCGAATGATGTAACCTCTTGTCGATTGACTTACAAATGATCGAAATGTTACCCTCGATATATCTATGGAACTATATCGTGATTGAAGTTAATCAATAGGGAAAGTTGCGTCAATATCGCCAACAATTTTCCTTGCAATCGGAAAAGAAACTGAAACTGACGCGACGCAATTTACGTACTTGTTAATTCCATTTGCATCTAAACGATCGTTGATTACGGTCCGTTTAATTAGAATTTGTCGCGAGGGTCTGATTAAATTATCGTTTGCTTTTATTACCCAACGCTTTACCATTGTACGCATCTACTATTCTACATATTTACGAAATTAATGATCTACGGATTAATGAGCCTAAGAGTCCAGGGATCTAGGGTTCTACAGATTTACCAATTTAGGGATTTTCCGATCAAGAGATTTACCAGTCTAGGGAACTTGGAATTTACCGATCTAGGGATCTAGGAACATACGGATTTACTGATCTTCCAATCTACAAATCGACAAACCTACGAATCCACAAATCTGCAGCTCCATAAATTTGCAAACCCATAAATCCACACATCTAAAAATCCAAATATCCAAAAATCCTTCGGTGCAAAAATAAATTTACAAGTCTACAAATTTTGTTAGCAACAACTCATAAACAGTGTTTGTTTAATCAAGCGTTATAATAGGGTTCCGTTCCTATGTCCCTTTTTGCCATATTTGTCGCTTCTGTAGGTCCGCTCCAGGGCCATATAGTGAGACTCTATCGTGAAGTAACTGATAAATCCAATACTTTCTTTTCGTACAATTGCCCCTCGTTTCGAAACCGAGAGATACGTTACGTTGTTGGAATTTCTTCCCTGTTACAGTTGTTTTCAGTGAAAAGGAAGGTTTCATCGGACGATATAGATGAATGGCCCGAGAGAGACGGGACGAGGAAATCCGAGTAAATTTCAAAAACGGGTACGTTGCCTCGGATTTCGCACAATTGAAAGCCCCTCTTCCGCGAAAACCGAGTGGGGAGCGTCCTCGATGAATTTGAAAACCGCTAGAGTATCTACGTAGGTATTACCCGGTCAATCACGTGCCAGAAGATCATCTTAATGTCCACATAAAACAGAAGATCACAGCCAGAATCTGGTGCATACCCGGATAAGTCGTCGACGTTGTCGTGTGTTAACACCAGTTTCTCAAGTGCACATCTAACCACCCTTTTAACATGGTAGGTGGTTGAAAATGAAGAAACATTTCCATGTAAACGTTGTCAATTTTTGTTGTAATACGTAGTGGTAAATAATATACAAAGTACTCTTTTTTTAATTTTAATATTTCCTGATATCTTTGAAGTCATTCGAAATCTCCGTTCACATTTTGGAAAATTTATACTACTTCTGTGGATATTTTTTAAATAAGTCTTTGGAAATTTGTTTGTGTATATTTTTTAGCCCATTTTGGAAGACTTTGTCTTTAATTTTTTATTGTCTCTATTTTCAATTGACACACGGTTTATTTCTCAGGTCTGAGTCACGTTTGACCTGGAGGAATAAATGATAAGAGCGAAGTCGATGTTTATGTGGAAATGTTTTGCGTAAATTTTCTACTGGTGACTTAGTGTGAATATTAGCAATTAAAGATGGATCTGGGTCGACTGTTTCATTTATGAAATAGTTTAGCACCTCTGACAGTTTGAGAAATGATAACAAAATATAATATTAGTCAAAGTGGAATATAAATTGTCGTGTCAATAGCAAAAGAGAATAAATTTTCTAAAAAATGAAGTAATCATTGAAAATGTTTAAATTGTGCAATGTTTCCATAGTGTATCAAAGAATAATAATTTTATGTTTGATATTTACAGGATGACCTGACCAAAGATCAAATTGCCCGTAAGTAACTCATTAAAGTTTCGCTCGCAATTGGTTATTAATCGATGGTTAGTAATTATAATGATTTTATCGCAGTGTTGAAGAAGGCTTTCGACGCCTTCGACGCAACAAAGAAGGGTAGCATCGGCACTGACATGGTGGGCACAATATTGACCATGTTGGGTTACGAACTCAGCGAGAAAACACTGAAGGAAATCATTCAGGAAGTTGACGAAGATGGTAAGAAATTTCAAACTCCCTCACAAATTTAAGAAAAGTCAAAAATCAAAAATAATTAATAATCAGCAGAATTTCAACCAACTACCCAACATAAAATTTTTGCTCGAACTATTTCCACAATCTTCTGCTTTGAATTTTCAGCTCTGTACATCACATTCTTCTGCAGCAATAATAATCCACATTTAAACTCGATAATTCAAAGACATATCATGTTGAATCTTAATAGCATATTTAAAATTGCACGTTTGCATTAGTTATTATGACATTTCAAATATTCGTGTTAATGTTTTGGTTGTCTTGTCAACGTTTCGTAAACAGTGCAGTTTAACTGTTCAGGGTTGACCTGAATCTGGCAGATTCGGCCCCAGTTGTCACTCACATAACTTAAACGCATGTTTGTTGTTGAATTACCTGATTAAACATTCATCTTAATACTGAAATCGCGTTTATAAATATAAAATGAAATACCTCTTGAATAGCAGACAACTCATTTCAACAGTTTTATAATTTTAAAGTTGCATTTGGGATTGGTTTTGGATGGCTGAGATTCAGTTTGAATTATTTGAGTTCAACGTGGATTAAATTTAGATCTGAGATGAGCTGGAAATAATTTGGATCATATTTGAACTTGATTTGGATTTGAGTTAGGTTGGATCTCAGTTTGATGCGGGTTACTTGGTTTTAATTTCGACTGGATTTGGATCAGACAGATTTCGACTACATCACAATAACATTTGTTCAATCTTACATTCAGTAGCATCTTACATACAAATTAAATCTGTTAAAAACCTTCGTAGAAACTTTAGAATGCGTACTCCATAAACAACGTCAGTCTGTTTGCTGCATAAAAACCGAGCAAATATGAAAAGTAAACAAACACAGACTACACGGCAGTCGGATGTTAACAGGTTCTGGTCAACTGGAATTCGAGGAGTTCTGCACGCTGGCCGCAAGATTCTTGGTGGAAGAAGATTCCGAAGCGATGCAGCAGGAATTACGCGAAGCATTCCGATTGTACGACAAAGAGGGTAACGGTTACATAACCACGGCTGTGTTTCGTGACATTCTCCACGAGTTGGACGACAAACTGACGCCACAGGAGCTAGACATGATGATCGAGGAGATCGACGCTGACGGCTCGGGAACACTCGACTTCGACGGTAAGCTCGAACCTCGTTGAATTTCCATATCACGTCAATCAGTCGGATCGCTAGTGCAACAGAATTACGACACGTCCACCGTGGTCGATTGAAAGTGGTACTGCACGTCGGAAATTACAGGGAAGGTGTAACAGTTGCTTGCTAATAATTTATCACTCTCTCGTTAATTAATTAACTCGGTTCGTGTGCCGAGCTCCGGGCTAACGTTAGATCGCCGCACACGAATCACTGATAACGTGTTATTTCTCCCTGGGGGCGATTAATTAAACTTCCAACGAAACTAATCTATCTGTTAACTTAAGCAGCCGTAATTGCATATTTTTTCGCGATTTTCGAATACCTTCGATAAACGACGTGTTTTCATGCCTCGGATTTCTGTGTTGCAGAGTTCATGGAAGTCATGACTGGCGGTGACGACTAAATTGCACGCTGGATAATTGTAATAGACAGCGGCCACGATTAAACACGACAACGCTTGCCAACCTGTTCGAATCTCTTCGATCGTCAGTTCAACAGCGGACACCGGGTCAAATCTTTAACGTTGATCGGCGATAACGTCGGCGACATTTTGTCTTTAATGCACAGGAGATGCAAATGTGATTCAATAAAGATTTCAAACTTAACAATCCCTTTGGATTTAAACGAGTTATTCCAGAGTATAGTTCGCATAAGCTTACCATAAAATTATGTATTAGTTTATCGATCTTTTAATCGAGGATCTACTCGAATTGCTTGAACGCCTGAACGACTGCAATCGCGTTCGCGCACAGGATGTGCTGTGAGTGCTCTTTGTGGGGTACGCCGAGGAAAATACTAACAAGTTGGGTATAACGTAGGGGCAATGTAGGGGTGGTTATATAAGGCGGGGGTGATGTAACGTGAGATTGATAGGACACGTGGGTGATATAACGCGTGGTAATACGGCGTGGGAGATTTGACGATATAGTGGTATCTGTGGTAATACAACTTCATGGGTTGGAATACACCTAGTGATTTAATATGTCGAAACGCGTGATGATTTAATATTTTGAGATGCATGTGATAGAAGGCGAAGAACGCAAGGTGATTCTATGCGTAGAAATACAACATATGGTGATTCGACGCATCGAAATATAATGCGTGGTGATTCTACGCGTAGAAATACTATGTGCTTCAATTTAACGCGTTGAAGTATAATGCATTGATATCCTGTGTGTAGAAATACATAGCATGGTGACTCGACGCATCAACATACAACGCATTGAGATCCTAAGCATAGAAATACAACGAGTGGCGATTCGATGCATCAAAATTTTACGCATAGGAATACAATGAGTGGTAATGATTCCATGCATGGAGAACCTACGCGTAAAAATACTATGCGCTACAATTTAACGCGTCGAAGTATAATGCATTGATATCCTATGTGTAGAAATGTATCGCATGGTGACCCAACGCGTCAACATACAACGCATTGAGATCCTAAGCATAGAAATACAACGAGTGGCGATTCGATGCATCAAAATTTTACGCATAGGAATACAATGAGTGGTAATGATTCCATGCATGGAGAACCTACGCGCAAAAATACAACGCGTAGCAATTAGTGACATCGAATTGCAAGGCGTAGTAATCTATCGCATAGAAATGTAATGCGTCGAAATACAACGTGCAGTAATTCAACGCATAGAGATACAACACGTGGTAAACCAACATGACGAAATACAATATACAGTCATCTCACATGTAAGAATACGACGCGTTGAAATACAAGGGCAAAAATACAGTTCGCAATACATTGCGTAGAACGTCTGATTATACAGGATGTCTCACAACTAGTGTTACTTTCGGAAAGATAACGTGATTCTGAACAAATTTTTCATTTACAAAAATATGGTTCGAAGCTTCGTTCATGAATTATTAAGGAAAACATAAGACTGCACTACTCATACAAAATAACTAATTAAAAACAACGTGTATAAAATTAATTCTCCAATTTCCTGAAGCATATATAAACGGAATAATAAGGTAATTAAAAGGTACTATTTTCTAATTTCCTCAAGCACGGATATCCGTGTTTCGAAAGAACGATCGTTGTCGAACAATGAAAATGTACTTAAACAATAATAAAATTGTTGCACGAATTATCCACGATAAATAATCCTCTGTACCGTTGAAAGCCATATCCTTTCACCGTCGCCATATTGGCAATAAATTAATATACCGAGTTTTATTTACGCCGTAAACGAAACTAATGATTATAAATTCAGCAACAGACGATAATTAAGAAAACGCAGTATGTTCCGGGTGTTGGAGATTAACGGATACCAGTATTCTTGGCAAACGGGCGTTTCGGCAATGTCTACAAGTGCAAGTTTAATTTTCCGTTCACCGTCACGAAAAGCGTGCACGTGTTCCTACGGCTGATAAATGTCCGTCGGTGTCCGCGTCAAAATTCGATCTTATATAAATCCGCGTGTTTACGCCGATCGTGGCCACCGCGATCACCGCTGAAAATACGAAATCGGCCGAGTGCAATGAGCATTTTTTTCCACGCGAAATAGAAACGAAATAGAAATAGAAACACGAGAGAAGATGTTCGTAGGTGTTTCGCGATGTACCGATGTTTCGCTCGGTTTGTCTTCGAACAAGTTTATTACAAAGTTAATGTTCTATGAGCTCGATGTAAATATCGAGCTCGGCCAAATATCGAGCCGGTGCCAAACGGGAATTAATTTTTGGACCCACGCAACCGGAGATGGAATCGGCTGCTGACATTTAAACGACACGTATCGCGATATTGGCTGAATGTTATATTCGATAATTTATTATCGCTAGATTTACTGTTATCGATCTGTAGATCTAGTGATTCATGAGCACTGACATTTCTGCACACTGTAAAGATGCTGCTCTTCATTTCATCTTTTAGCTTTTTCATTGTCTCAAAAGATCCCATAAATGTCCCTTGTATTTGCTTCTACTATAATTAATTAAAAATTAACTAAAAATGTTTCAAACATGTATTTATTATTAGAATGTGTTTAACCTCTTAGACACAATACGTTACTACAGTGGCTTTCATGAATGTCGTAGATTACGTAGCGCCAATATAATGGCTCACTTGCTCACCGTTTCAATTGAATGATCGTTTTCATGTATCAACACAAAAGTACATTACATGTAAATAAACGGCAACGCCAAGTTTAGGCACCATGCACCTCTTTGCACATTGAAAACATTTGGAAATGACATACTTTGTGAATTTTAAAAAAGTAAATTGTCAAAGTTAATGTATCATATCTTTGGGAAAAATTTAATCATCAAAAACTTCATTCGAATGTACTCGCGTATTGTTCTTCACACACTGTGACGCTGTATCGTTTATGCATAATTCGTGTTGAACTGCGATACAAAATTGACGCCTCGCAAAGTGCAGCCTAAGAGATTATGTTTATATCATTGTTTCAACATTAAGATTCCCTAACTGTAAATAATTAATTTAATTTAATAACAAATAAATATGTGTGTATAATTTATATATAATTTAATATTTAACAGAATTCGCAGCGTTCACGTGTCAAAATATTTACCAGAAGTGTTAACTCCTCGTTCCAATGAAAAATGTGTGAAAGATGTAACTTATATACTTGTAGTAGTGTGCATAAAAAACTGGCCTAATAGAAATTGCAGTAAAAACGTAAATCTACGATTGGAAAACTTGAGCCGTCCGTTAAGTGTTAATCTTCGTTCTCTACCTAGACATTATGGAATTCTGTTTGATCGGAGACTTTAACATGGAATTTCCTGTCGGAAATTGGAAGGGGCAATTGCGAGTTGTCGGTGAACGGGACTCGTTGCGGACAGAAGTCATACCAAATCGAGTATCTGAAACAAAGATGTCATTATCCAGGCGACTCCCACGTTTCCCGAGGTAATCGGTACGGAGCAAAAACGGTCAATAGAGTCTGTTCTATATTCAAGCCTAACCGTTTCAAATTGTTCACCGGCGAAATTATTATCTACCGAGATGAATTTCGAAACGGTAACGCAGGGTGGTCTCCCGTAAATCAGGTTCAATTCTTAAAATCGTATCCGGTTTTCTAATTCCTGGTGCTCACCGCGATAGAGGGAGTTGCATAAGGAAACATATTCGACTTCGGAACAATTATGCGGTACAATTATCGGAAACGAGCGAAGGAAAATCTGATTCGATTATAACGATCGGGCAGTAACAACAATGTCATAAATAATTGGTAATAAATGCGAGTCTCTCTAGTTTTCCGCGGGAAAATTTAACCTGTAGTATACGAAGTTTGAAATGGCATTAAAATGTTATTTTACAAGCGTTCGTATCGACGAACCCGTTTATCGCGGCCGTTCCGATAACGAATACAAGATTCTTGATATTTTAAACGAAATAAAGTCGCCTTTCACTGGTCAAGCTTGGCTAACCTGCAATTCAACTGCTACGTGCATGTTAAAATTTACATTGTAGAACGTAAAGTTCATGTACGGGGGACACTCATTATCTATTCATAAAATTATCTACGTATGTGTATGAAAGACGTACATACACTCAGACTCTTAGGTTTTTATGTAATTACTAGATATACAATTGTAAATTGTATGTAGATTTTTATATTAAGCCTCTGTACTTTCAGATTCCTGTATTTCGTATCTCTAGATTCATATATGTGGAAACTTGCAGGTTCTCATATTGGGATATACGGATATTGTTATGTAGCTATGTATGTCTCTACGTTCTGGTACTACGCCCGATGTTTCTATGTTCCGATATCTCTATGTTCCGATATCTGTATGCTGTGATATACCTATCAGATGATGATATTTCTCGAAATTTCTACGGTTCTATATCTGTACGTTTTGGTACCTCTGATATTATAACGTTACGATATTTCCATGTTCCGATATCCCTACGTTTCGATATCTCTGCAAGCTGATATTCCTATGTCCGATACCTCTACGACTCGGTATTCCTACGTTCCGATATTTCTACGTCTTCATAACTCTACGTCCCGATATCTCCACGTCCCCATATTTCTACGTCCCGATATCTCCACGTTCCCATATTTCTATGTCTCCAAAATTCTACGCTCCGATAACCCTACGTTCCGATATCTCTACGTCCCGATATCTCCACGTCCCCATACCTCTACGTCCCGATATCTCCACGTTCTGTTATTTCTACGTCTTCAAAACTCTACGTCCCGATAACCCTACGTTCCGATATATCTACGTCCCGATTCTCCACGTCCCGATATCTCCACGTTCCGATATCTCCACGTTCTGTTATTTCTACGTCTTCAAAACTCTACGTCCCGATAACCCTACGTTCCGATATCTCTACGTCCCGATTCTCCACGTCCCGATATCTCCACGTTCCGATATTTCTACATCTCCAAAACTCTACGTCCCAATAACCCTACGTTCCGATATCTCTACGTCCCGATATCTCTATGTCCCCATATCCCTATGTTTCGATATCTCTACGTCCCCATATCCCTCGTCCCTATATCCCTACGTCCCCATATCCCTACGTCCCCATATCCCTACGTCCCCATATCCCTACGTCCCGATATCTCCACGTCCCCGTATCCCTACGCCCCGATATCTGCACATCCTA